AGCATACATTCTCTAAGTTCAAGAACACCGCTGACAATCCAGTTGTTCTTGACGAAGAAGACGACCCTGTTTCAATGAACCCAATTGCATGTCAAAATGATGAAGAAAGCGTCCCACTTCATGAAGAAACAGAGTCAACAAATGTCAAAGGTTAGTGAAGCTTTAATATCACCCATATTGTTCATCACCCCATTTTATTGACCTAACAAAATCTRTRTGCAAATACAACTAAGTAGTTAATAATGAAACTTCCTGATTTGACAACCTGGTTTCAATGTTAATGAACAGCCTTCTTAATGAACAGCCTTGTTAATGAACCTGATAATGAACCTGGTATCATTATATTATATAACATGGTTTCATTGTATTATATAACATGATTTGACAACCTGGTTTCACCCCATTTTATTAATGAACCTGATAATGAACAACCTGGTAAAGATCCTGTTGATCATCAAAAAAGTTAAACAGGTGTATGATGAAACAACCAATGAATAATGCAAAACATAATGATCTATATTCATTATATCAAACATGTAGTGATTCCAGATTCACAATGATCAATATTCGGTGAGTTTAACATGCGGTGATACCAGATTGAAAATAAGAAAAATATGTTCCCATTCTCATGAGAATCATATGAACCAACTTGGCTTTTTACACGTACTTCAACCACTAAAATGAAAGCATATTCAAATTTATTAAAAATTTAAGATTCACTAAATATTTAATGAAACCATTTTATGAAATGTAGTWCATTTAACTAAAACACACTAGTATAATCCTATAATGTGTTGAACYCTGTAATATCACCAAGAATTGAAAGGCATAATTTAAGTGGAATCACGTTTTGGACAATTCCTCGAATCATGTGTAGCCATTTGTCGACATAACCGACACTTTCTCTTCTGCTTTTTGCCATTCGTAATWGCTTTCTYAGCARCGCTAATAAGTCTCTTACCAGTCCCACAACCTTTATTCCGTATGCCGGTTGGAGGTAGAACATCGATGTTTTCTGGTTGAGATACTCCAAGAAACTCTTTAATAGATGCTGTTGTCTCTTGAGCGTGTGATTGTATAGGAAGTTCATTATCAATCTTTGTATCCCATTCTTGAAGTTGGTCAACAAATTTTGACAAAATATGTTTCTCATTTCGCACTCGACCTATAATACGTTCAAAATACGAATAAGCAACACTCATCAACCTCTCCTTGTCAGCGTCAACTTCCCCGTATCTGAAACGTGCTGGTAACCACTCCACTGGGACTAGATCGCGCCTCCAGCGGCGAAGTATATACTTATCTGGAATTYTATCAACCTCGTCATTTAACATTACCTTGAGAGCATGCCGACATAAGATCCCGTTACGAACAAAACAGTTACATGAGCAATCATACGAGTTTTCAATCTTGTTCTTGACAACCTATCAAGTGAGAAACACGAGAGATATTTTGAAGTTGCATTAGGAATTATACTATTTGAAATGTTTGGCAAAATTGGAATATTAAGGAATAACTACCGTGTACTTTGTGGTGATCTTAGA